ATAGCACAAGGTATCCAAATGGCACTGGTCGATGATATTCCGGGAGTAATCTGTGCTGGTTTCCTTTGTCAGAAGAATGGATGACGACCGACTTTTTTCGGTCGTCTCTGGTGATATTCACTGACAATATCGGCTGTCCAGAGATTAAAAAATCATGAGAAAGCACCGCGTTTCCTACAAGAAAATGTAATGGGAGACTTTCTCAGGTAGTTACGAACAACAATTGTTACATGACTTGAACAATATTAATATTAAAGAATAGTTCGAATATAGGAACTTCTACCTCACACACACACACACAACGTTACGACATATTGATGTTCGAGTTGATAGGAGTTGACAAACCTACAACGTTATGACATATTGATGTTTGAGTTGATGGTAACTTTGGAGATTCTGTCTACAAGGAGATCCTTTCGGCTTATCTTTTTTCTGTTCCTTTGGAGAGGCGGTGATTGGCAATGGCTGTAATCAGCAGTTTGGATCACACATACATAGTTCAATAACAACTGGATAACTCTCTTTGACTCATCAACCCCTCTTTTTTATTAGGGGTCTGTCCTGGGGTTTTTTCATGGTCTTATTAGGATATTAGGAGTTTTTCTACAATCCAATAGTTGATTTTTGGTCGTAGATTCTGGGTGACACACTAGGAAGCTGTCACCTCCGTAAGGAAGTAAATCTGGGGAAAGATACGATCGTATCCTTCCAGATTTTTATTAATTGTTGGGAAAAAGTTCATTTTTTTTTTTTTTTTTTATATAATTAATCGTTATTTTGCTTTATTTTAAAGTGAACATGAAAGTTTATAAAAAAAAAGAAAGGTTCATAAGAGCTTATCAAATCCAAGTACTCACACCAGCATCTGCAGTATCTGATGAAGGAAAATAAGAAAATACAGCTTTTTATTGGCAATTTTTGCACTTTTTAATTGCTTATATTCCAGCAACTGCTTTATTGAAAATCTTGAAATTTTGCAAATTATCTTTTGAATGGATATTTGGAATTACTTCAGGTGTTTGGGGATCAAACCCCAAAAATTAGCAACTCTGATTCCTGTATATATATAGTCAGTCAGTGACTTTTTTACTTGGCAGGGAGTGACTCCTAATGTATTGTCCTGTTTTTAGAAAATTTTTCTGTAAATTTTCTTAGTTTTCTAAGAGATATCAAATTTGGAGTGAAAATTTTTTAATAATTTACACTATTAACTTTTAAGAATGTTTCTTGCAATAATAAACAAGTTATTTAGAATATTTTAAAAATTTATCTAAATATTAAGTAAAAAATAATTTAAAAATTTTTATAAAAACACTTTTTATTCATGTAAATGCAATAAAAAGTAAAAACAAAATTTCTTTGTCTTTCACAGTATTCTTGGTATTATATGACAAAAAAAGCATGTGTGAGATCCCAGGCTATCATTTATAAAATTTATATTTGAATTAAATTAAAATGTTAAACAAAGCTAAAAATCTTGGAAGTCAACAGAGAATTTCATGAGATTTTATCTCTTGATAATGCTTCCTTTCTGAATGTCATATCTTCCATGAATGACTCCCCAGTAAAGTTTGAAAATAAATCAGAGATCGGATAATAATCTCACTTCTATCCAATTTTACCAAATTTTGATTTGTTCAGAGACATGGGAAATAAAAGTGATATAACAGGAGAAGGTGAAGGAAGGTTGGAGATTTCAAGTCTGAGTTGAGTCAGAATTTGAATTTGTTCTCCCATTTCCTCACCACCTCAACTCTTCAAATTGTGCCTGTATTATCACCAGAATTGTTGATAGTGTTTTTTACAAGCATTATTTTCTGAAGACCTGTATCCAAGAGGAAAGATGACAAAGGCATCTTTATATTCAAGGACTTTAACTGACAATTTGTGAGCGATCACTCTACCTCTATAAAGATATCATTTATTTCCTAGTGCAAACCAATTGTAAACTCTCTCTCTAATGGAAGTAGGCACATTAATATAGTAGCTTAATTTTAAATGATTGTAATATTCTTTGATAAGTTATGTTAATTGTAGTATTATGTAGAAACCATCAACAGATCTATGCTAGATGTAGTTTCTATCCATTTTGTAGTCGATAATTGCTCATGCTTAAATAAATTTTTTTTGTTTTATGTTAACTTGGTAATGGAGTGAATCACTTCTGGATATTATGTCTCTCTTATCCCACTTCCATCCACTTACCCCACAAGTTCCCCATAAGCAATCACTTGTACACTAGGACATGGACTCCTGTGTCATAATTGAATTCACAGGAGTCAGAACATCCTGATCTGGGGTGCTGTTTTATATATATCACGTATGGAATGCTTGTGGAAAGCCTTAAAAATTAATTGAAAATGTAACTAACAGTGGCATGCAGTAACATTTGATGATAAGTAAGCTGGATACAATCATTGAAAGTGTTAAATGATATTTTGGTGCATAGCATCCATGTTCACGTGTAGTATAGAAATTTGTAATAAGATACATAATGCAATTATAATAAAATATTAATTTTAATTAATTCAAAGTACATTAAAATATGAAAATAATCATCCAATATCCTTATATTTTAGAAAATACAAGGGAAGCAGTGCTTCCACAGCTTCCATGGACAGCATGCCACTGGTAACTAAGAATATTTCTAAACATGAGTGCCCATGCTTTTATTTTTTATTTTTTAGTGCATTTATGTGAATAAAAAGCATTTCTTTAAATATTTTTACTTTTTTTTATTTTCTACATTTTAGTTTTATATATGTAACAGTGAATTATCAAAATTCTTTTCAGTGTAACATTTAATTGGGAAGTGGGTGAAAAATTGAGTTACAAGATTTTAGGTATACAGTATGACTAAAAAGGAGCAAGAGCTTGCCACTTTTGCATGACTTAAAGGGTATTTGTAATTTATTAAGTTATGTGCAGCAATATCTGTTATCAGATTCTAGTCACAAATTTTAATTTTTCACTAAATTTTTTTCTAATTATATCTCAAAAACTGGGTAATTGTAAATATACCACTCACCAAACCATCACCAGTTCATGTCATGAAAAAAGAATGGCCAACAGTTATGTATGGTAGCGGATAAAGTTACTTCTCCCACTATTAAAATGGAGAGACTACTTAATTAAGAAATACATCACTACCAATCTAGAGGAGCATACATACACTGTCACCAATCCAGAGCAAGTACTTCAAAAATTACAGGACCTTAATGAGTCAATGTGGCATATTTCACAGTTTGTGACTATCAGACATTGTTCCCATCTATAAAACTGGAAACCTGTTTCTGTGAGCTGAGAGATTTCCTTCTGGCAAAAGTGGAGAGCACTTATAAATATCTACCTGATATGTTAGATCTAACACACTTGATGGTCTCATCCTTCTTCGAATACGAAGAGGTCACCTACCTACAGACGAGGGGTGTACCTATGGGTAGCCCAATATCAGGAACTCTCTGAATTAGTGGTCAGAAAACATGAGAATGCCATATTACCTAAATTTCATGAGCACATAGCATTGTATGTCAGATACATTAATGACATTATCATAGTATGGAACAAAGTACCTAACCTTCACTCGATACTTAAGTATTTCAACAATAACCCATATGGCCTATTGCAATTTCTGCAATAGGCCATATGGGTTATTTGAAAGTTGAGCAAGAGAGTTGTACTACAGTACATTTTTTGGATATCAACATTACAATGGAGCACGGTCATCTGTCAACCCGTGTTTTCCATAAGGAATCATATACATGACCCTTATTGTTACAAAGTCTCTGCTTTTCGATCTCTGGTAAAAAGGGCCCACACATTGTTCAGAGCATAGTGGAAAGGAAAATGAATTGTCATGGATCAAGAACCTAGCAACACAACATGGATACCCAAACCTCTTTGGTCAAACATCTCATAAAACAATATGTAAATAAGAGGGAGAAGACCATTCTACAATACAAACGAATGAAAGTTATCACATACAATGAAACACTTTCTAATATATATAGAGAAATTGCAAGGACCACTACAGTGCACGTAACATATCGACACTCTCCAACAATTTTCTCTCTCATCAGAAATAATAAAAACTGTATAATGACTCATACTCTCCAGGAGTTTATGCAGTACCTCTTCACTACAACCGAGTTAACCACTCATTAACATACACTGGAGCAATGGTAAAAGGTCTTGCCATGAGGATGAAAGAACATGAATATTCCATAAGGAAAAAGCTGACTACTATGGCATTAGCGATGTATGCGAGTAATGAGGAAATCCACAATGAATACAAAACATTAAATTGTTACAGAGTGTTGAATAAGGCATAACTCAAATACCTCAAATTGCTTGAGATCTATCAGGCAATTAAACAGGGAGTTGCTATTAACTTCAAGGAAACGGACACGCTATCCATGGCATGGCACACCATGTTTGAACTAGATTCACCGACAGAAACTCGCATTAAGGATAATTTAAATTACGGAGGATATTTGCATCATAACAATTTACATGAAATTAATTGATTTTTATTAAGATATAATTTAAATATTTTACATAGTTTGAAATTATATCCCGAACATTACATAAATTTTGACACAACGTATTCAAATTATGTAATCAATTTGAACTTTTGAAAAAATGTTCTATTTTACTAGCCGTTTATTTGATATTGTTGAGACTTGAAGATGTCTATTTCACATACAAAAACGTTAGTAAGGATCTTTCTTTTTTTGTGACATGAACTGGTGATGGTTTGGTGAGTGGTATATTTTTGCTAATTATTAGGATTGTTTGAAAACTCTAAAGAAATGTATTGTTGTTGGTAATACATATGTGTACTAGCTTTTGTCAAAACTGAAATTAGGAAGTGGATGAAAATCCACTATATTGTAAAAGTATCGTTACAAAATTTTATCTGGACAGACAAACAGTATGTTAATAACAAGCAAATAAAAAGAACTATAATTAAGTAAAGGTGAACAAATCAAAGGGTTTACCATCAGTTTGAGTTTCTTCCTGTTCTACAGAATCAACTAATTGTTCAACAACTATTTAAAAAGAAAAAAAAAATGTTAGTATTAAATAAAGCATGCACATTTTTAAGGATGATTATTAAAATTAAAAGTATCTTATTAATTTCAATGTTAAAAAAATCTTTACAACACAGAGTTCTAAAGATATAGAGACATATAAAGGTATTTTTTAATGCATTTCATTCATGTATGTAAAAAAACTAATTTGAAAAGTAAAATCTTGTTTTAATGGATTACTTGGGCTGCCAAAAATCGTCTGTTGTTCTGTGAATCCTTTATATTAGAAGCAATGGATTTCTGGCACACCTAGAAAAATATCCATTGTCCAAAAAACATTTTCAGTTTTTAACCTCATACATATAAGAAATACCAATACTTGAAATTATTTAGTCTCTTGAGATCTCTATTCTTTATTGTAAAAAACATTGTTACAAAATTGTAAATTATGCCATGTACATGTGTGTCAAAGCCAACAGAAATTATATACTGTAAGTATAAAAAAAAATTATGTATGCTAATTAGCAATTCACTTGGACTTCACAATTTGTCAAAAAATTTGTCCATCTTGGTTTGTTTTGATGCCACTTTTCTGCTTAATGAATACAACAATCCCTTGATGTTAGCAATGCTATGTACAGCTTGTCTGTTATTGCCGAAATTCATCGGGAAGGTCTTCACAATTTGGAAATACTCAATTTTCTTGCTAAATTTTGGCACTACACTTGGACCAGCATCAGAATGTTCGTTAAATAGCTCCTCCTCGATCGTATCAGCTGCTGACTCTCTCTGTACAATTCTTCAATTGTACATATCTCAGATGTAACAAATACATCATCAAACTACAAATTCCCAGAAACATCCAAATACAGGCATACCTCGACTTACGTCGTTTCGAGTTACGTCGTTTGTCAAAAAAGTATATGGAAAAATAAAAATCAAGTTTAAGTCATTTTATTCGACTTTACGTCTGTCCGCCACAAATATTGAAGTCGTAATATCACTAGAAAAACGTTTAAAGCACATAAAATCATATTAAAATATATACTAGTATGTTCTGTATTTACAGTACATGCATTTGTAAATTTAGAATACTTTTTTCTGTACTATAATAAAAACTAAAATTTATTTGTTTGTAAGCTTAAAATAGATTTTTATTAACCATATATTATTAAAAATGCATTTATAAATAAAATACAAAACCAGGAATGGTAATTTATGGTTTAGCCTAGTGACAAGTAGATTCGGAGACAAGTAAATTCGACTTACGTCGTTTTTCGACTTACGTCGTTCTCCTGGAACCAATTACCGACGTAAGGCGAGGTATACCTGTATTAACTAAACATTGAAAAAATGTGAAGTTTATAATACATGGTGCTAGAAATATTTGTTATTCCAAGTTATGGATCTGATAAAGAGAGGTAAAATTATATTGCTTTAGCAGGACCTGTAAAAAATATCTGTTATTCTGAGGAATACATTGTTCCATGATCTGTTAAAACAAGATTCTACTGTATCAATATTTTTGTATGCTACAATGTTGCCAGGTCTGGTTTTGGTCTTCTAATTTAGTCAGTTTCAAAAAAAATATTCATTGCATTCTACTTTTCTCCAATAGTTTATACCAATGGTCTTCAAATTTTGTCAATTTAAGGAACCCTTATGAGTATAAAATTATTTCGCGGAACCAGGGATAATAAACAATAGAATATTCACAATCTAGTTAGTACATATAAAGAGAAACGTTTTAATATTCTTTTATTATATTATAATAGAAGTTAAAAAAGTATTACAAAATAAAGTTAATATGTACAAGCTCATCACAGTCATTAAAATTTTCAATTTTAATGACTGTGATGAGCTTGCTTTGTTTTGCACAAAACTTTAAAGTCAGGTTTAATTGTTGTTATTTGTAAATGCATTTCATGTTCAGCGTCCAATTTATTTCTGTAGTTTGTTTTTGTTCCAACATCTGTTGAAATTGACTTTTCACACAAATATGTCATAACAAAGGACATTAAGGCTTTTATAGCTTTTGCAGAAATTCCGTGTAAATTTTTAACCAAAAATCTTTGAATGAGAAGATCTTGTATTTGCATTTTAACGTAGAATCTGTTGATAGTTCAATCAGTTGTTCCTGTACTGTCAGTAATAAATTCTGATTATTATTGAAATTTTGAAATGGATTTTTAATCCAATCAAGTGACTCTTCTTGCTGGGATAAATAATCCCTGATAGTAGTTTTACGTTGTAAAATATGCTTCTGAATTATGACTTTAACATCTTTATTCAAATTTATTTCATTTTCGATTAGAAAATCATTTACCTTTTCAAAATATTGCATACTAGCAGGTGGGCCTGGCGTTGCTCGGGCAAAAGTAATGATAACTAAGATAAAGATTATTACGTTAAAGTCAACCTTACCCGTTTTCACAGAATGCAAGAATTGGGTCCCCTTATTTCCAGACTAATTAGAGAATTTTTAGATGGGTTTAAAAATATGTTCGATTTCCCGCAAAAACAAAAAAAACTGCATCTGCGTATCGCACGTCGCTTTCTGTTAACAATTCCATTGTTACGTAACATTTCCATTGTTGACACTTCCATTGTTACTTAGCACTTCCATTGTTACTTAACACTTCCATTGTTGATGGAAGTGTTAAGCCTTAATCCTGTCCCTCTCCCCCATGGGGAGGAATTTCGAAAAATCCCTTCTTAGTGTGCGTTCTCCTAACATACCCTAACTGTGTACCAAATTTCAACTTTCAACTCCTAACCGTTTGGGCTCGTATCCATAATGTATATAGAAGTTTTAATCCTGTCTCTCTCCCCGGGGGGAATTTTGAAAAATCCCTTCTTAGTGTGTGTTTTCGTGATGTACCCTAACTGTGTACCAAATTTCAACTTTCAACTCCTAACCGTTTGGGCTCTGCGCTGATTATTATTATTATTATCAACCCGTCTCGATTATATATTAGATTATTATTTTTCACATAAGATTCCCACAAATCTAATTTTAAAATTGAAGCATTGATTTCATTGTTCAGTTTAATAATATTAACTTTAAGGCCTTGAAGAGATGTATTAAATTCATTTTAAGTTGTAAATATATCTACCAAATATGCCAATAGCTGTAACCATATTTCATCATTTAAAATTTGAGCATATTTATGTTTTTGATCACTTAAAAAAAATTCTAATTTCATCTTTTAATTTGAATCGATTTAAGATTTTACCACATGATAACCATTGCATTTCCACATGTAACAGCAAGGTTTTATGTGTGCTAGATAGTTCTTCACATAATAAACTAAATAATCTTGAATTTAATTCTTTTTTTATAAAATTAATTATCTGTACTGCTTCATCCAAAATGTTCTTTAATGTTTTTGGTATTCTTTTTGCTGCTAACTGATGCTGATGAAGACAATAATGAGAATATTCAATATGTGAAGCTATTGCAATAATTTGTGATATAGCTCCTTTTTCTTGGCCTAATAAAGATTTTGCATCATCAGTGCAAATATGTGAATATAAATCCCAGCTCATTTCTTGCATGTATGAATTAACAAGTTTAAAAGTTTCTTCTCCAGTTGTTCTTCCTACAAGTGGTTTACAAAAAAGCATATTTTCTTGGATTGAAGAATTTAAAATGTAATGAACCAATACAATCAAAATAGCTAAGCCAGCAACATCTGTAGATTCATCTAACTGCAACATAAAACAATGCAAAGATGATTTTTAAATGACACAAAAGTTCATGCTCACAGTATTGTGCCATTTCTTTTATTCACTTTCCACTGTAGTATCAGAAAATGGTATGCTATTAATGTCTTTAATAAAATTATCTCCAAGTTTGCAAGAAATTACATCTATAACACAAGGTTTTATTTATTTTTCAGCAATAGTATATGCTTTTCTCTCTCTAGCAATTTGAAAGCTAATTCGAAAAGAAGCCTCAAGAGATGATTTGTTATCAGAAAACATGTATTTAGAAAACGCCTTCTTTTTGCTTATTAGATCTTCATGTTTATGTTGAAAGTATTCAATAGTTTTATTACGTAGATACAGATGATTCAATTCCAAATGTCTTTTTAGTTTGGCTGAATTTAAACTACTGTTACTAACAACGCTTTTGCATTCAACACATAATCCATTCAGTTCATCTTTATTTCCTGTCCAAGTAAACCCAAATGCTAAATAGTTTCCATCATATTTCCACTTTTTCATAGTGCCTTCTGATAGTTTACGTATCTTCATATCAGGTAAATGTTCTTCGATTTCAGAAGATAAATTAGGAGCACTTTTGCCATTTATTGTTGTGGCTGTGACTGGTGTGGTTGGTGTCAAATTAGAGCAGCAAATGAACTGGTCCAGCCATGTTGATATGGTGGTGTCCAAGGCTTCTAAGACTTCTAACGCCCTTCTCTCAATTGCCAACAATACCTGGGGCATTGGGTACAAGGCCGCCAAGCACATCTACCTTGGTGCGATTGAACCCATTTTGTTATATGCTGCCCCAATCTGGGCCGAGGCCACGCAGAAAGTACACATCCAAAAGAAGCTTTCCAAGGCCCAGCGCATCTCTGCACTCAGGATCTGCAGGGCATACAGAACAGCCCCAACCGCTGCCCTCCTTGTTATCGCTGGCCTCCTCCCAGTGCATATCAAGGCCAAAATGGCATCGAACATCTGGACAATTAATAACATATCTGCCAACAACTACTACAATACCACCAGGCACAATGCTGCCCTTTCTGCCCTTCCCGATCATGTCAAGGAAGACATAACATCTTATGGCATTGAGAATAAAGACACTAACCTGAATTCGACCATGGACTATCCTGCCATGAACAGCGATATCACCCTTCATGAAGGGCCATAGGACATTTCAATCTACACGGACGGGTCTAAGAACAAGGGTAATGTGGGTGCTGCTTTTGTTCTCAGCAATCACCACAATGGTGAAACTCACAGGTCGGCCTTCAGGCTGGGGCCTCACTGCTCCGTTCCCCAAG